GATCCTCCATACTTTCCTGGTAGCTAACACCAATGAACTACTTTTCTTCAAGATATATAGGTCTCGGGTATTGCACTGAACATGGTAGACTAGTCTAATGCACTCTACCATGCACTCGCTAGATTACTACCTTCATTGTACTTAAACCATTCAGTGTATTTCCTTGGTAGTAACTAGCTATAGAGTAAGAGCTCTTCTTCCAGCCAACCCCTCCACCATCTATCAGAAACTCGTCGCCGAGTTAGCAGCCCAAAACCTTAAACTCTTCTTAGCCGGCCGAAGCCGTTGCCCGGGGATCACCGCTGGGAGGTGAGAGTTTCGGCACATCTATACTTCTTATCAAAGCATAGTTCATCTCCCCTGATAAGCATAAGGTAAGCTAATCAGGGTTTCCACCCATTCTGTGCCTATTTTAGAAAGTTCTTTTGTCCAGATCGCTTTGATAGCGAGATTTAATTCGCCCTTAATTTTCCCGAACCACAGCAATAGTATTTGAAAATATTCTTGTCCATAATGTAATAAAAGTAATAATAACGGAGACCTTCCAAGAACATGGTTATTTTCTGCCTCACTTTTCTCAATTCACAAAAGGTAGCGTCATTTTTATATGTTCGCCATAAAGTGAATCGTGCTCTTCTAGCTATAGTTTCTTTATTTAGTCCCGGAATTTAACGGAATAACAAAATTTTCTTTCAAAATATTTTTCGGAATAGAAATGTGTGTGGTCTTGGCAAGAGGGAGGCAGGTTCTGAATCGATCTAGTCATGTTCATCTGTTGATTTTCTTACTGGAAATATAAAGTTTAGACAAATCTAAGCCGTCGACTAAATATTCGACATAGAAAAGATTGAACCTGCGAGTGTAGTTACTACTCAAGGCTACCACTACTTAAAACTTGTTAATCGCCTTTTTCTCTAAACTATACATTTTGAACTGGCTATACATCCAGCCCTTTGAGCTCAGAGTCGATCGACTTTAGATTTTATTTGTAGCTTTATTAGTAAAAAAAAAGCATACATGATCCTTCGATTAGTTCATTTTGATCGGTTTTTTTGATCGATTTTTACGTAACTAAAATATTCCTAGTTCAAGTCGAAGCCATTTTTTTACTTTTAAACTGCGGATGGTACGAGAGTATACTACGGATGTATACAACACCCCAAAGGATTTGATATTATACCATCTGTTTGCCTGTCTGTCCGTCTGTCCGCCTCATGTCACTTCGTGTAGTCTTTTATTCAATGTAAAGGTCCAAATTTTTGAGATATTTTGATGAATTGTATATCGATATTTTATGACTCAAGAGTGAACAGTATTCGAAATGGTTCGGATCGGATGACTTTTTTGACAACTTCCGTACAACGTTTTATTTTGAAAAGTCATTTTATGAATAATTATATTAAATGAAGCGGGGTAGGGTATTTAATGACGGGACGTGACCAACTATAAGGTTTTTACTTGTTTCAAAACATCTTACGTACTTGGAAATTTGGTGAAAATAGTCATGTGAGTGTTTTTTTACAACTTTGGAAGGTAGAAAGACAAGATTTGCCTCAAGGCGAATATAATATTTTTGCTTATTTATAAATAATTTTTTAAATGTTAAGAATATGCACAAGTACAGTATGTATTACATATGTATATATAATTTTTCTTCAATTAAAATTTTTTTCCATAATTTGCAATTATAAGTAATTATTATATATACACACATATATATATGTATATATATGGTATCTATGTGAGGAGTATTCAAAAATCATATTCAAGGGCTATATTTACAATTGTAAAGCTCTTGCTTTTAAGCTGAACAATGTTTGTCGATTTTTATGAAACCACATTTTTGAACTCATTGTCGAGAGATGGAGGCACACAGTCAGATTATGAGTTCAGTTAGCTCTGAGTTCTTTATTCATTCCTATCCATTGTCGAAATTATCAATTTTCTATACCCCTTCATGGAACCAATTTACGGATCGATAGTGACAATGGGTTATAATTACATCCGTAATCGTTAACAAACAGACAGGCAGACATACACTTAATAATAGAAAATTTTGAAAATTTTCATATATAAATTTCTTTCAAAAATCGATTCTAAAGATTAACTTAATTAGTTATTTTCCTACGTCACTGAAATGGTGTGTGTGTGTGTGTGTGTGTGCCAGACGAGGATAGCTTTCTTAATTGCTTAAAAAAACTAAATATATGCATGTGTGTAAAATGTGTGTTATTTACAAATTATTAGATTATCATTAAACGCCGACTGCATTGAAATTATAATAAAAAACAATAAATAACTGAATTTTATGTTAAAAATGATCCTATCCTTTGATTACTTGTAAACTATGCAATGCTTGTGACCGGTTTTTCTCTTTCAACTGCATATAGAGTTTTTATCTAGTCACACATTCGAGCCATGTGTGATTGGGTATACGTTAACTATATAATGATAATTGCTCTTCGAACGCATTACTACATTGCCAACTTCCTTTAGTTGCTATTAATTGAACATTTAATGCAATGTATTATCAATTATCTATAATGATAATACAAACGAAATTATGTTTAGCTAACACCGAAAACTTGCAATACTTTACTTAGTTGGTTTACTTTTATTTAAAAGAAATCACTTTTGTAACTAAAGAATATATATATGTATGCAAGTGTACTGCCTGCTATGTGGGCATAAACATGTCCAAACCAATCACGTAATGTCCAAGGAAAATATGGTATTTTTGCTTGTGTATAAATAAACTACAAAGCTCCAGGAATGAAAATCGAAGGTAAGCTAAACAAGTCAAAGTGAAAGCGATTTCTAGTATGGCAAGCGTTTAGGTTTTGGTTTTCATTGAGAAGCGCTCATCTAACAAAACCTTGGCGGGCGGAGCAATGGCTTGCTTAACTGATCATACAATGTCCCGTAAAGAAAAACACAAAAAAACACAACTTGAAGCGAAGTATGAACATCCCGACCAGGAAAGCTTTTAATTTTTTTACTCGATGGCTTTCATAAGCGACAATCTAACAAACACGATGCTTGTGTGCCTTAATATACAATATTTAAAATCATATTATATGTGAAATACCGTTCAACGTAGACGTTATGACAGTTAACTACTTCATACCACATCGCCTAACAAGATCGCCTTCAATGATTTTCGTGATCGTACACCAAAAATTTTACCTTATTCTTATATAAAGGCGCACTTTTGATGCGAGCCCTCGTTATTGAAGTTTACTTAAAACGTTCACTAATTCAAATTTAGCGAAATTACTTCACCTGTTCAAGATTTACCTGTCTGCGTCTAAGGGAGGCTACATCTGTTTTATGTAAAAAAGCACTTTGTGATACATGATAGATAATATATATTTTGTTCGGATGTATATTACAGCCAATGGAACTTAAGATAGACCCATTTATTAAAATGATCGATTGAGAATCATATTCCGAGCTTATGTTATCTGTCTGTCTGTCTGTCTGATTCTGTCTATGTATTTTTGCTTTCAACCTGCAGATCGCATTTCTTGAAAAAGTTAAAGATATTTAATACACTGACTCGGTTGACTCGTCCTACTAAAAATAGATTTGATCAAACTATTTTCACGACAGCCCTGCATGTAATACTTTAATATAAAAAAGTCGTTCTATGAAAAGAATTAAGAATTCTAAGGAGATTTTTCGACAAAAATCACTGGGCAGTAATATCTCGGTTTACTGGGTGGTATGAATAATTTGATTTGCAATGGACCTTCCTATGTTCCTACGAACAGCATGCTCTCTTTACATGGCAACATAATTTCTGATATTTTATGATGAAAGTTCGTTTACATTAGTAATTTGATATAAAATTTGTCTGCATCACATATGGACCAAATAGTTCTATCTTTTGGATCGTTTTCAAAGGAGAGTACCTCGCATGAAAATATAACTTTTATTGTAACACTGATTACTTCATTACAATCACATTATGATTGCATGCCCTTTTATGCATCCCTGTAAATGAAACCGCCATAGCCTTGAGTAGTATACGTGTAAAATAAAATGGATTACTTGTGACAAAGCCAGTATAAAGCATAGATCGTGCTTTGTTTTTCTAAAGAAACAACTATTCATCTTGGAAGGATACAATACTTTTATATGGCAATAGGAAAAAAAGTCTTTGAGAAGAAAACCAATTTTGTTAAATTTGGACGATGTCAGTTCATATTTTGCATCCTTTCCTGTATTAGGGATGTTATGAAAAATCTTCCCCTTTTTCATTATATTTTATATCACGCAAGTAAACGAAATGCGAAGGGGGAATATGGTATTTAATGAGGGACCTAGTCGGACTTGTTTTTTATTTAGGGGATTTCGAGCGATATTTACACTAAGTTAGTTGACTTTTGGTTAGACCGGAGTAAAAAACGAAGATTTGATCTCAACATTGCTTTCTTGGCCAAGTTTATGATGCGCAAAATGTGATTATATCATGTGGAGAGTGCCCGCCTCTGCATCATTTACGTTTTCCTGAGCACTCGTAATTCACGGTGTCTCAGGTGCGTGTTTCTGTATATGGCAATCACTTAAAAAATGCACACACACACGAATATGTAATGAACACAAAAGAACCTATTAGGGTTTATTTAAACTTGCCCTTAATTTCAATCGAATCGAATCAATTGAAGAATGGAGTAATGTCAACCTCGCATCGTTTAAGCTTTGTCGAATAGACCAGCAACCTATGACGCAACCAATTAAAATCTTAAGATGTAGAGATAGAGTTAAGCTTGATTATTTGTATGCTATGTGACCGTACCATCGTGATTGTTGTCTTCGCTTATTGCAACTTCAAAGGTCTACGAGAACCTGCTTTTCATTTCTATTCACTTGCACTTGTATTTTAATGTTGTTTTTATATTAATCAAAAGTTTCATTCTTCGATGGAATCTTTTGTTCTTCTTAAGAATTTTAAATTAATTTATTTAGTTATTTTGAAAACATATTATGAAACTTACCCTTGAAATGATAATGCCAGCAATACTAATGCGTATTCTAGGACCCTTCAGTAAACGATAACGTAAATCTACACCGTTCCAAAAGGAGATGAAGTAACGCTTCACCTATAATATGAATAAAAAAAAAAAAATATATATATATAAAAAAAAATAAATGGTAATAAAATGTAAAATATCAGTAAAACAATCTAGAATTTTAAATAAATTTTACATGTGACGGAATGTGTTGTGTTGTGGGCAGAAAGAAGTAAAGCGGTATGAATTTGTATCCAAGATTTATTAAATACATTAATATGTTTGCGTATAAGTTAGAGTTTGTTTAAGACAGATTTACGAGCTGGGAGTGTCTTGGCTTTGCATGTTAACTTACACACACACACACATATACGCATATTACCTGTAAATTATCACCGCCGTGCAAACGATAACCATCATAATCAACAATAACTAAAATTTCTGGATAAATTATATAAGGAGCTTGACGTTTGTCTCGTTGATGTGCCGCCAATTCGTCATTTTCAATGTGATCTTCGGCTTCCAAAAATTCTTCTTCCATTTCGATATCATCCAATGTGGTACGATGTTGGCGATTAAAAGAACGTCGTCTTCTTTGTAATTTTGCGTTAAACTTTAAATCATCCGGTTCCATAAAAGCTAAGTAAAATGAAATAAATTTAGCGAAAAAATTTAATAAATTTTAAATATTTTGTCATTTTTTTTATTTACAAATTTTATTTATTTTTTTTTTAAATAATTTATTTAGTTTTGATTAAAGTTATAGCACCTCATTAAAACGGTATTTTTCCATTTAAATTAATTTTACAAAATGTGGAAAAAAAATGCACAAAAAAATACATTAACAATTTCAATGAAATATGGAATTTAATAAAGTAAAAAGCTTGGCGACAAGCCTACAAAACTGAATTTCTGATAAGCATTTTTATGGTCTTTCACAAAAAGACTTTCTGTTAACAGGAAATTGTTGCATTTGTGAAGGCTAGTTGTAATTGAGAGCTCAGATTACTTTAACAAAAAAGAAAAAAAAAAAAAAAAAGCAAGAAACAACAACAATAACAAAATGAATAAATAAAATTATATCCTGCACAACGTGTACACCAAACCGCTAAACGACTTCATGCATTCTGATAATATTTTATTAAATGCATCGACTACAACCGTGAGATCTCTTCACTTTTTCCTCCATCGGGAACCAAGCCGCTAAACGAGTCCATGCA